ATGGTTAGATATTCTTCAGGGAGTCTGATTAAAAAAGAGCGATGTAGAATAAGAGTTGTGTGGTGACTTAATGAAATTCAGGCTTTGATCCTGTCCCAAAATCAATGGTATGTGCTAGACTCCCAAAATAGCTAGTACTTAACAAAGAAAGCTCATGAATACTCTTTGAAAGGGCAATAATTTGTGGGTCTTGGCAACGCGCCAAACCCCTTGCCACCCAAAGCCCAGTGAAGAACGATGAGTGGGACAAATATCTATTTCAGAAATGTTGGAAGGGAAACTGAAAATTGAAGACCTTGCTAGAATCAGTTCCACTTCAGTGTCTACGCCGCTGCCGGTCCTCAGCCCAAGAGAGCTTTTGTGGCGGTGATATATCCTTGTTACAAGTTAGCAAGGGAACTAAATCTTGGACTTTAGTGCTTGACCGCATTGGCCACCAACTAGCTATAGCCGCTGAAACGAGCAATTTCTCTCCATTTTCCAATTCTATGACCGATGACGCAGCGCAGATGACTCAATTTCGGCAGAAGTAAACACATGCATCCTAATTACTCGGGATGCCGAATTATAAATAATGTTTGATTTCAGTTTTCTTTTTTTTGGGACAAAGTGAGCGCTCAAGTTATACAATAACAGACCTAAATTCACTTTCCTGCACATATCTTTGTAAAGTTGTAAAGATTTTAATCCAGTGGAGTTTGTCCGCGTGATAAGGTTTGCTGAATTTAAGAAGCAGTTAGGAGCCTCGCACGTGCTAACTTCGCTTATCGGGCAAGCGATCGACAAGTTCGATTTTTAAAGATAACATCTCGAACTCTGTGAGAATTTTATATTTAGAACTTTTTGAGAGGTAAACAAAGCGTTTGCCATAGACCTATTTGCATTTTGTAATTATCTGTTTTAAACTTAGATCTCTCTTGATGGCAACCCTCAAAACAGTTTTACGTGCTCGTGCGAAAAGAAACATGTCTTGTGCAAACCCAAAAGCAAATCATTTTCAGTTTCCGAAGGGACAGTTTTGGAAAGATCATATAAAAGCGTGCGTCTACTTCTGCATCGAAAGGTATCTCGTTGAACATAATTCCTAAAAAGTTAGATGCGCCACTAAGAGGACCTATTTGCGTGTCCACCTGCCATGGGCAAATTGGTAAATATAATTAATACAAATTACAAAGTCTCGCTTTGCGGCCAGTAACTTTTTCAGATATACATTACTATTCCCTTTTATCTAGCTTTAGGAAATCATTAGCAATGGACCTGCCCAGGCGTTTGAATTTTGAAGCTAAAACTAGATAGTAAAGATGAAACAATTTTTATAACGAGATAGGATTTCTAATTTGTTGCACAGTCACTAGAAAATGGGAAAAGTAAATGTGTTGCGTGTACATACCGATTCAGAGTATTGGATACAAAGAACTCTCCTTCAAAATAGGCTTTGTGATAACAAAAAAATAAATAAAAAACCAAAACGAAAACATTGTATGCTAGTAAGGAAGAAAATGAAAAAATGAGCAAAAGCAAGACAAAAATATTCATGCGGACGTATTTGCGGCACGTGATCACTTAGATGTGAAGATTGCGTGACATCGATCTGGGTCTATTTTTCAGTTCAATTAGTTCCTTCACTTCTTACCTCTTTTCATTAGAAACATTCCATACAAAACTCAATAGATACCCAGAAGAGACTCTATATGTAATAAATGGATCCAGGTCCCGCAAAAATATTGCACAAACCGGGGAAACTTAAGGTTACACTTAGAAAATGCCGTTGCCGTATGAAAAGGCCGGTGGCTGAGCACGGCAGCAAGACAATGCAAAATTAGCGAAGAACATCAAAGTTATTTGCCTTCAAACACCCATTTAGAAGGTAAGCTGTCATCGGAGTATTATCTCAGATTCACTGGGCAGTTTTAATGGGAAATGGCAGGGTTTTTCAATGGTTTGCTCAGAAAGCGAGCTAAGGCTAGTCGAATTGTTTATATTTCCTGGCGAAACAAAATCTCTTCGAAAGGTCAAATTGGGTCAACTTGCATGGGGCTGCTCGTCTCAGAAATAACTTTTGCCAAGAAAATAATTATATCACGTTCAAAAACAGCTCTTCTACTTGATAGAATTTAATTTTGAAAGAATTCTACAGAGTACCGAGTATGTTTTGAGATGTTTGAAAACGGCGTGGAATTTTTGATTTTCAGAGTATAGAAATTTCGGTTCTCTTCGCTTGCTCTCCAGGAATTCAGAATTACTATTGCAAGTCTGAAATGTTATCAAGGAAGCTTAGCAATACCTCCTTAATAAATTATAAACTAAGGAAAACCATAATTTGTTATGCGCCTCCACGCGAGTTCGATTATCTGATCATAAAATTTGACCTCATTTTTGTGATTTTTCGGCTTCACGGGTGGTCGACGGTTTTTCGGAATTTTCTCAAAAATGTAAAAACTCTACAACCTAAAACTTATATCACGATTCTTAGCATACTATAGGTTATCTCTGGACTATTTCTCTGGACTACTATAGGTTATCTCTGGTTATCGAGGGGTCCATTTTTCCGACCTTGTGCCGCCCCTCACGTGGTGGTTAGGTAGAGTGACTCTTAAGTTGCTGAAAGAAGAGCTAAAGCGTGAAGTCCCTGATCCCATGCACAGCATGCTGGAGGATAAAGATGATAAGGTGGAGGCAATTATCAAATATAAGTGACGGAAAGAAAGGGAAACAGTAATAATCCCACCTACATGCACTGGTACATTGTTTATTGTTATTTGTTTATTGAAATGACATTTAACATCATGGCTGGATTTTGTTGGGATTATTTTTCTTAGATTAATGTGAATGTACTGTCTCTGAAAGCCTCCACATGCAAGAACACTGTAACCTACAAGGTATTTCAGCAAAGAAAATACTACTGGGAATAAAACAAAAGGGAAGTGTTGGTTCATTTTGCCATAAATTTTCCTGCACTGATCTCTATTATTATTTTTTTTCCTTTTATGTTACATGTTAAATCAGAGGAGGAGCTTCAAGAGACAAATGAGAAGAGGACAGCCAGTGGTAGAAGACCTCCTCACTGTTCAAAGTGTGGACAACCAAAACGGGGTCACAAGAGGGACCAGTGTCAATCAGAAGACAATAATTAATGCTACTAGATTTGTAGTAAATTTGCAGTGTGTGGTTGCAGAAAATAGCCATAGTTCCCCCATGGAAGGAGTTTCATTTTAAACTCCCCCCTTCACTAGAATTTTCAGTTGACCCTTATACTTCCCGTAACCCTTCTCCCCCTCGGAAATTTCAATGTTGCATAATTTGAAACAGGTTTGGCCTTGCTCCAGTCTTTCATCGGACTGTCAGGGTCAGGTTAGGTTAGAAATTAATATCAGGATAATAATAGTGTGTTCAGTGAAAACAACCAAAGTAATTTACAAAAGTGGGCCATTATTTTTTGTTTCACTCTACCTTTGATGGCCCTTAGAGTTGTTGTGTTTTGTTAAAATGAATAAAGTTGGAATTCAAATGGTTTTGGTCTTTCAAAAAACTGCCAGTCCAGAAACATTAATTTTCATCATCTTCAAAGCCGCGGTATTGTCTATTCTCAGCTGGAAAATGCTTTCGTATCTTGCTATATGCACAACAGGGTAGTGGATAACGCCTCGAGCTACCAATATAATCCCAGAGTAACCTGGTAAACTGCCGGTAAGCCACTGACCTCAGGAACCTAACAGAACAACAAATAATAAATTTTAGATATAATGGGAAGAAGCGTTTTGAGTCTGTGTGTGTGTATTAAGCCATGGCTGACATCATGAATAAAGTTCGTTGTGTTCGACTGTGACCGACTGGTCAACACCATCCCCTCCACCCCCCTCTCCCCCCCCAAAAAAAAACATCATAAATGGGTCAGGGATGTGAATCATGCAAAGGAAATATAATGCAAGGAAATCTTAATTAATAGTGTTACTTTAGCATAGCTTTTAGTCTATTTCCAGCTAATTTACCGTTGTCACTGTGAAAATCCCAAAATTGACCTGCTATAATTATTTTTTTTTACTTACTCTGCTTCCGTTCTTCGACCATGAGTGTCTATTGTTCTATAAGATTTTCCAGATCTAGTCTTAAGATTCAACGCAGCAACTTGTAAGACGTGCCTGTTCAGGCAAACATCTTGAAACCCTGGATGAAGTGTGATGCACTTCTTTCGATCGCCAAACTCTTCCATAACCTCCCCACAACGATCGATTTCCTGACAGCATTGGCATTCTTCTGCTTTCCTTGCGAACTCGGGTGAACAGTTAGAACAAACGCACCTTTAAATAAGAAACGTACGAGTTAAGCTGATTGTTAGTAAAAGTATGCGAAGACAAATAAAAAAATTCGAACAAACAATAACTTTCCGTAGCAACCAAAAAGCTACATGGCCGCAATTGTAAACAAAAGACATGATCGAACTAGAATGGGCTGTGTACAAAAAGTAAAGGCAGTTTCTGTTAAGGCTTACGTCAGGATGAACAAATAAACGTTGTCATAGGAAAATTTCTTATCGCACCATGCAGAAACATCCACTTGACGAGTTAATCTCGCTCGATATTCGCGCTCTACTTCGGTTTCTTTAGCCATTCTTTCTTCTTGTTCTACAGCCTCTTCTTCGGTGGCTAATGGCTCTAGATCCTCGTCATACGGAACAACACTGCCACATTCGAAAGATACTTCGTTAAAATATTCTTCACCTTCACTTTCAGATGAACTGGAAGAAGAATTCGAGGAAGAATACATCTTATGAAACACCTGGAATTTCCAGTGTGGAATCTCTCACAACACCCGAAGCACGATGCGAAAGTGCGCATATGACGTCACAGGCCAATTCATGCGTAAAACCGCTCGGTTGTGAGCTGAGTAATGGCGGACGGGTTTTTCGTGAATTTCGGCCAGCTATATCAAGGCGTATTTCGCTTCCATCGACCTAAAAACCATCGCATAGTACAATTCTAGCCATAATAACTTGATTGGCGCTAAAAAAATGTCAAAACCAGAGACAATTTTCGTCGGAGTGGCACTTTAATGACATAAACACGTTCTGGGATCTTGCATTGTCTGTACTTAATCGTGGCTAGGAACGATCCAGTAACAGGTATGTGGGTCTCCCCCGGCCCCATGAGTGTTAGCTGGACATTCTGCAAAGGCTGATTCTTTAACCGGGGTAATGAGTCACTGACAACGGATACAGATGCGCCAGTATCTTGCTTGCAGCGAGTAACGTTCTCGTTTATCCCCACTTGAACGATCTAGCTGCCCCCCCCCTCCCTTGGATTTCTCCTAGAAAGGGAAAGTGTGGATTTTCCTCTTCAATTTCATGTACTTTTTTCTTTTGTTGTAACTGCTCGCTGTTTTGGCTTCGACAAACTGCTTGAAAATGGCCCCTCTTCTTGCATTTTAACCAGGTGGCATTCTTAGCCGAGCATTGCTTCCGGTCTTGGTGTGGGTGGTTACCCCATCAGGAGCACTTGTTGATACTTTGAGGGAGTTGTCTTTTTGCTCATTATTCTGGCTTGCACGCTTGACCATATTTACGGAGTTTGTGCTAGTCTGTGTACTCCCCCGTACAACTTCTCTAATTTGTTGTCTGGCTTCTGCCTTTCGACTAATTTGAACTGCTTCTTCTAATGTTAGCTTCAATTTGGATTGAAGTCGATCAGAAAGTGCATCGTCTAACACTCCSACAATTATTCTATCACGAATAAGTTCATTTTTGAGTAAACCATACTCACAGTCATCCGCGAGTCTGTATAGGTCTTGTATAAACGAATCCACGGGTTCTCCCGGTTTTTGGACTCTTTTATTGAATTTGGCGCGCTCAACCAGCACGTTGCGACGGATTTCATAGTACTCGTTAAGGGCTGTTTTCACCTCTTCGTACGAAGCTTTTTCTTCGTCGATATGTAGGGTTTTAAGAATATCATCGGCGCATTCACCCATCGCGTAGAGTAGGGTTCCGACTTGCTCGATGTCTGGTTTATGTTTGAGGCCAGATGCAGTCCGATATCTTTCGAAACGACGAAACCATTTCGACCAAAGTTCAGCTTGTTGTGGTGAATTTGCTCCGCTGAATTTTTCCGGAGGAGGAAGATTATTCGCCGTTTGAACTTGAAATGGAATTAGTCCAGGACTAGAATCTTCTGTATCAGGCATTATGTAGGGCTAACACCGCTGCCACCATGTAATATTATAGGAAGAAGCAGGACGAGACAAATATAAATATCAACAGAACGACAGGTCTTTTTTAATCAAGATGGCGGATCTCTCTCCATGTGCTAGTCACGTGACATACGTACACATAATACACAGGGATACCATACTACATTTTCTAACCCCGACAGATCATAGCGATAAGTCCACACGAAGGACACGAACCATTACATTGAATAGATGAACTCGCAACTCTTGTAGATATCATTCTTACCTCGTTCTTTGAGCGAAATTCCAAATGGAATCGCTGATTAACTCATATATAGCCATGAAATATCCTGAAGTTGCTCTCAAGCAATATTTGATTCAAAATTTTTCATGTTCCACTCGGTCTCCTTTAGGACGAAATATAATCATAGTCGTACAACGTTCACAACTCCACCGCTTTCTGAACACAACTAATACGTTTTCTTAATTCACGAACCACTCTCCCCGAGTCACGCGTTGATTCGCTAAAATTTGAGGACCTGTCAAATTAAACCACAAATTAGCAAGTACGCTCTGATTGGTGCGATATCGGAAAATACTACAATCTGATTGGTTTGTGATACACCAAAAAATTGCGCCAATCATATTGCTTTGAGATACACCCAAAAAAAGATAAGCCAATCAGATTGCTTAGAGATAGACCAAATTGCGCTGATCAGACTACACCATACCAAAACACACCACTCTATACGATAACATATAGTTATTAAAAAAAAACTGAGAAACCCATCTGGAAGAAACCTTCATGGTTTTTATACATAAAACACCCTCAAAGAACGGTTACGCGCTTCAAAAGAATAGTGCTAGGCAGTTATCGTTCGTTTTCTGTCAATTCTGTAGAGAGCAGTGACGTCACTTGATCACCTGCTCAGCTTCTTATTGGACACTGCTATTTTATACGGCTTATGCAGTTACAATATTTTCACGACTTACATTTAAAAAAATCTGGGCGTTGTTAAGTTACGCTTAGAGGCTAAATTTAGAGGCTAATTTGTGCCGTTTAGCGGCTAACAGTCAACCCTAATTAGACCCACTAATATCTGCCACCTGGGCAGGGTATTTGAACATGATTTTGGCTCAGGAGGGCTAGAACCATCTTTAAAAGCTAAAAGTCCTGAGGGGAGGCGATGTTGAAGCATTGAATGGGTCGACGCATCACTTTTCTCTTCTAGCATAGTACTTTCAGTATCCCTTTCAGTGGCCCAAAAACCGCAAGAAGGGAACAATGAAATGTGTAAGAGCCTCAGTTATTTGTTGACAGGATCTCTGTGACACCACTCCCTTGCGAAAAAGCCACTGTCTCTCCTTTGCTTCTTTCGAAAGGCAAATATGCTGCATGGGAGGTAAACCTCTATTCAGTGATGTATAAAATGCAAAATTTATTTATATATTTTAGTTCAGAGGGTATTGTAACTGCAACTGCCTTAAGCCACGTGTCTCAGCGGTGATCAGTTGTAAGATAGGGCTTTGGACAATAAGACAGTTTCACAGTCATGCGAAGTTCGTATCTCCTACTGTTGTGGCAAGCAACAAGTCTTACAAATGTCACCGAATCCCGTCTCCCAGAGAATCCTAAGGCATTGCACGCCAGCCATGGGTCGGAATTGGACATGTAGGCCGGCGGGCATTGCACCTCCCTTTATCGGGGGCCCGGCCGTCCGCCTTAAACATTAAAAAAATAATGGGAAATAATCACTGTGAATCATTATGAACCACTGTACAAAGGCAAAAAGAAAAATTTTATATCTTGGAAAGTGCGGTATTTATAAGTGCTGTGGCCCACCAAAACAGTGGGATATACAAACTGTGCCTTATAGGTGAGATTTGATCCTAGTCCAATAAAAATTGGTCAAATGCCCAACCATGGAGCCAGAAAAGTAATCCAGTAAAGCCAAACATCACAAACCCCAGCCACACCAAATTGCCCACGATATTGTTTCTTGAATGGGATATTTTGGTAAAAATTTTGGCTAGTTTATTATTTATTGAAAATACATGAAAACAATTGAAAAGAAATCATCTTTTTGCAGACATCAGATTACTGCATCCCCCGGGATCATCAGTAAGTTATGTCCCCATCCCAGCGGCTATACAAAAAAACTCATCGAAATAATGCTCGGTATCCCTGAACTTCCCTCTAAGGCTTTGCATTGATAGGCACGTTATTTCTACATAGTATTGGCATTCATATATCTTTATTGAATATAAACTTTTTTAGGTACTAGAACACCATAGTTTGTTATTCTTCCTACTCACAGGACTTGTATTAATTTTTCTTGCTTTGTTCTAACTCATCTAATTATGTGGCAAGCATCAAGTTCTAATTATGGGACACTGGTAGGTTAAAGCCAAGACTGGTACCGCTGCCCCTGAGTTTCTGAACCGAGACAGAATATCAGGAAAGCAGTATGATCTGGTTTATCAACAAGACGGCAAACTGTGCCCCGAGGCTGTTCAACGGTGTGAACAATGCAGAAAAAGTGCTTTCAACCAAGGAGATGTAGTAGTATTGAAGACAGTTGGAGTGCGAGACAGGACGGATAAATCAGGGAAGATTGTTAAGTATACTGGAAATGTGTACCTGCACTATCTGACAAAATGTCTAGGAGAATATGATCAAAACTTCTGTTTTGGTGCTGTCAATGTTCCTGCAAGTGTTATATTAATTTGCTTAAAATTCCGCGGGAGTTTCGTAACCCAGAGCTGTTATGAATTTATTAGCATTTTTGTTTTTAACCGCATGTGTTGTAAGTGCTGGTCAGTTTTAGTTTAATCGTTGTGTATTAAAGGTCGTATTTTTAAAAGTTTAGAGTTGCTTTTCGAGTGAAGACACAACAGTTGGCGACGAGGATGGCGGATACACTGGAAGAACCAGCGCAGCCTAGCATCGTGTTAGATCCATCGTGTTTAGGGCGTATGGAGGAGTTTACGCCGGGCAGCGATTGGAAACATTATGTGGAGCGACTCGAAATGTTCTTTTAAGTTAACAGTGTACCGACAGATAAGCGTGTACCGAGCATACTTACATTAATGGGTAGTAATTAATGGGTAGATGTATGCTTTGTTGAGGTCCATTTCAGCGCCGAGGAGACCAAATTAATTAAATTTTGCGGAAATTGTGGAGATTGTGGCACAGCATGTGGATCCAAAACCGATAATTATAGCGGAAAGATACAAGTTCCACAAAGCCGAACAGGAAGATTCGGAAACGATTAGACAGTACCTCGCCAAGCTACAAAAGTTAGCGGAGACCTGCGAATTTGGCCTTTATCGCGAGGAAGCCATTCGAGACCGGTTTGTTTGTGGTTTGCGTTCACAGTCAATTCAACGCAAGTTACTTGCTGAAGCGACGTTGACATTACAAACGGCATTGGAAAAAGCCTGTGCTAGTGAGTTAACGGAAAAGGAAGCCTCAGGATTTCATGGTTCCGCCTACGATGTCAAGAAAGTCGAGGGATCTTTTCCCGAGTGCTTCAGGTGTGGTAAAACTAGCCATTCACTGGAATAATGTTTTCATCGTAAAGTACAGTGCCATGGATGCCAGAAGTGTGGCCACATTATACTTAATTGTCAGGAGAGGCGTGCACCTAAAGCCAAGGGTGGAGAAAGTAAGAAAAGTAGGAAGCAGAGAAAAAATAAACCCGGTGGAGTCCATAGCGTTAAAGAAACGGTGACGATGGCCGAACCAGTGGACAGGTCCGCCTCGCCTATGTTCACCGTAGTCAATTCCCAGAAAAGATGTAACGAATTGATCGTGCCAGTACTGATTGATGGAAAGTCAGTGGACACCAGCTGGATACTGGTGCTTCTGTGAGGATCATTCTGAGCCATGTTTGGTCGGGTGTATTGGCAGCGAAGTCTTTGCGGCAAACTGACGTGAGACTGAAGAGTTATTCAGGGCATGAAATTCCAGTTCTTAAGGAGGCGAAAGTCCAGGTGTCGTATGGTGATCAACAAGCCTGCCTTCCAGTTATTGTCACGGCCGGTGATGGTCCAGCACTTATGGGACGAAATTGGTTGTCCGTTCTTCGACTTGACTGGAAGCAGATCAAGCAGATTTCCCTTGAGCCGTGCGACAGAGGAGAAAGTTTGGTTTCTAAGTACGCGTCACTGTTTGATGGCGGCCTGGGCACTATCAAGGGAGTGACCGCTCATCTCAAGCTCAAGGAGAATGCCACCCCGCAGTTCTTTAAACCTAGACCGGTTCCCTTTGCCTTGAAAGAGAAGATTGCAGAGGAACTTAAGAGGTTGGAAGGAATCGGTGTGTTACAGAAGGTGGAATTCTCAGATTGGGCTACGCCTATCGTGCCAGTCCTAAAACCGGATGGCACCGTGAGGATCTGTGGGGATTATAAGGTCACTATCAACCCAACTTTGGATGTGCCTGAGTACCCCATGCCTACGGCGGAAGAATTATTTACGCAGCTGAATGGTGGTCAGAGTTTCTCTAAACTAGATCTGTCCTCAGCATATCAACAGGTGTTGTTGGATGAGGAATCCAGGTAGTATGCCACGATTAACACTCATCTGGGACTTTTCCGTTAATCGCGCCTACCGTTTGGAGTGGCGGCAAATTCCAGCTATTTTTCAGCAAACAGTGGACCCTATATTGAGTGGCCTTAATGGAGTTGGTGGTATCCTGGATGACTTAATCGTAACGGGTCCAAACGACAAAGAGCATATTCGCAGTCTGGAAAACACTCTTAAACGTTTGGACAGCATGGGTGTGAAATTGAAAAAGTCAAAGTGTGTGCTTATGAAGCCTTCCGTGGAGTATTTCGCGTTCGTGGTGGACCGGCACGGAATCCATCTTCATCACCTAAGGTACAAGCCATTCAAGAAGTTCCAGAGCCACGGAATGCAACGGAACTGAAATCTTTTTTGGGGCTGGTGAATTATTATCGTAAATTAATTCCCGATATGTCAACTCTTGTCCACCCATTGAATCGCCTGTTGATGTTCGACGCACCGTGGACCTGGACGGAAACCTGTCAAGTAGCATTCAAGAAGTTAAAAGAATTGCTCCTTAATTCGCCGTTGTTGGCCCGAATAAACCCGTTCGATTGGCTGTTGACGCCTCATCATATGGATTGGGGACTGTTTTGTCGCATGTCTCAGGTGACGGCGAAGAAAAACCAATCGCGTATGCATCCCGCAGTCTCTCAGCAAGTGAGAAAAATTATTGTATGATCGAGAAAGAAGCTCTGGCAATTATTTTTGGCATAAAGAAATTCCTCCAGTACCTATTCGGAGGGCGTTTTTCATTGCTTACGGATCACAGACCTCTCACTTTGTTGCTTGGTCCGAAACGTGGTATTCCGGTGCTGGCCGCGTCCCGCCTCCAAAGTTGGGCTATTCAGTTGTCCGCCTATCAGTATGACATTGAATACAGGGCTTCCAAGGATCATGCCAACGCTGACGCACTGTCTCGATTGCCACGAAAGACCGTCGAAGAGCCGGATGATTGGAACATCGAAGCTGATCAAGTTAACCGCGTTCAAATGCAACGAGCTCCAATCACTGTGTCACAAATCCGTGAGGCCACACGTGGGGATCCAGTTCTTTCTCGTGTGATGCATTGCATTCTGCATGGTTGGTCAGCGGAAAAATGTATTTCAGATGAGTTTAAGATTTATTACAACAAGCAAGACGAGTTTACCGTGGAAGACGGCTGTATCCTTCGTGGTACCAGAGCAGTGATTCCGGCCAAATATCAGGCTGCTGTTTTATCGGAGTTGCATTTGAATCATCCCGGAATGGTCCGTATGAAGTCTCTAGCCAGATTGCATGTGTGGTGGCCCAGCCTTGATCACGATGCGGAGCAAACAGTGCGAGATTGCCATGCCTGCCAAGCAAATCGCTGTAAGAGTCCAGAGAAAGTCAGCAGTCCCTGGATCTGGCCCACACGACCTTGGCAGAGGATACATGTCGACTTCGCCGGTCCGTTTAATGGTCAGATGTTTCTGATTGTAGTGGACGCGAAATCAAAGTGGATTGAAGTATTTCCAATGTCCTCGACCACTGCATCAACGACCATTCGAGCCCTGCGTTTCTTGTTTGCCACACATGGTCTACCAGAGGTCATCATCTCCCATAACGGTCCACAGTTCGTTGCTCAGGAAATGAAAGACTTCCTGAAGTCAAATGGAATTCGTCATTGCTTATCCGCTCCTTACCATCCAGCCTCCAATGGTGAAACCGAGCGAGCCGTAAGAACTTTTAAAGAGTCAATAAAAACCATGAAAGATGAGCCCGGAACCCAAGCGGACAAATTAGCACGTTTGCTTCTGAGTTACCGGACAACCCCTCATACAGCTACTGGATGCACTCCTGCTGAGATCCTGATGGGTCGTAGAATTCGTACCCGATTGGACGCCTTGCATCCAGATTTGTCGGCCGGGATGTCTGAGAAAACTAAGCTTGGAAACCATACCACACGTCGTAACTTTCTTCCTGGTGACCCAGTCATGGTTAGAGATTATCGAGATCGTAAGCGACCGTGGATCAAAGGAGTTGTTCAAGATCGCGTGGGGCCTGTTACGTATCATGTTATGGTGGGGAATTTGTTTTGGAAACGACACGTGAATCAGTTGCGATCCTTAGCTGGTTC